TATAGAGTTAGCTTGATTCTGTAAGCATAGATTTATGAAGTGTACACCATCTACAGCACTCAGCATAGTGAAGGAGCTCCAATTTTTCAGCACTAATGTCAAGTCATTCAGTCAGTCAGGCAGTGTTTATACATCGTTTAGAGACTTTGGCGCACCCCTCAGCGAACGAATTTCCAACAGCCTCCTGTAAACTTCCGCCAATTATATCATTGTTGATGGAGAATTGAGTTAATTTCATTTTTATACAAAAACCTTCTTGGAAGAGGAATGTTGTCTAGGTGAGGTGGACGACGAGAGCTTCGAAGCTATATCAGCCAGCCCAGACAGTGAACCGACCTAACTGAATATCATCCACCTGGGCTACCTATCTTCACCATTATTTCAATATGAATCGAAAATACAGTTTAGAATTAATTTTTATTTAATAACTGGTTCGGTCTGAATATTATGTAGTTTTAGTTATCTTTGAATGATATTCACAACGTATAGAATGCATCGATTTTCAACCGAGAAGTGTGTTTAATTATAATATTGATGTAATGGTTATAATTTAACATTTTATCGTTTAGAATGGTCATAACTGTTATCACTTATGGAGGTTGACATTTATCGTAATCCTCAGTGTTATATAATAAACAAGTGGATCTAAAATGATTATTTTTATTTCATAAGTATTAGTTAGATAAAAAATTATACAATGCTATGCACCGACCAACAACGCAGACCTTGAAACGAAAGAAGAATTCTACAGACAACTACAGGCAGCAATAGACAATACTCCAGCTGGTGACATCAAAATACTAATGGGAGACATGAACGCCAAACTGGGATCAGATAACATAGGAAGGGAACTCATCATGGTTAGAGTAGCTCTCGGAGAAATGAATGAAAACGGAGAACTCCTCGCCAACTTCTGTGCCTTCAATGAACTAGTGATTGGTGGCAGCGTATACAAACACAAGGATATCCACAAGGCTACATGGGTGTCACCAGATGGGCGAACCAAATACCAAATCGACTTCATCTCAATCTCAAGGAAGTGGAGGCGCAGCCTGCTGGACACAAAAGTAAGAAGAGGAGCAGACATTGGCTCAGACCACTATCTCGTACAAGGGACAATCCAAATCAAATTAAAAGCTTTCAGAGAATCAGGAGCTGCAGGTAGACCACAAGCCAAGTTCAACACTCAAAAGCTGAAGGACCAGGCTACAAAGGACATCTTCATTGCAAACATAAGGGAAAAAGCCGAGACACAAATCAACACCAACGAAAAGGTCAGCATCGAAAAGCACTGGAACAACTTGAAGACAGTGTGGAGTCAAACCTGCATGGAAGTTCTAGGCAGAAAGAAGAGACAGGACAAACAATGGCTCACTACGGACACTTGGAAACTAATAGAAGAGAGAGGGATGGTGAAACAAAAGATTATCCAGTGCACCGATGAGCAACAAAAACAGGATTTGAACGCAAGCTACAAGACACTGAACAAAAGAGTAAAGAAGAGTGCCAGAGAAGACAAAAGAAAGTACAATGAAACCATGGCAAGTGAAGCAGAACAAGCTGCAGGCAAAGGAGACCTCGCAACACTCCACCAAACTACTAGGTACTTATCGGGCAAACGTTTGACACAAATCAAGCCGGTGAAGGATGACAATGGAAAGTCACTCACCAAAGAAGTGGAGCAAAGGAAACACTGGGCTGAACACTTCAAAAGACTCCTAAATCGACCACCACCTACAACGCGCCCAGCAATACCAACAACGGAGACAGAGCTACCAGTGAACACCAACCCACCGACGAAATCAGAAGTCCTGAAGGCAATCAAGATGCTAAAAGCTGGAAAAGCAGCAGGACCAGATGGAATCCCAGCAGAAGCATTGAAAGTGGACTCAGAGACAACAGCGGACTTGATGACGCCACTACTGGAGAAAGTGTGGAAAGAAGACAAAGTACCCGAGGATTGGAAGAAAGGATACTTATTCAAACTACCAAAGAAAGGAGACTTAAGTCAATGCAAGAACTGGCGCGGAATTATGCTCCTGTCCATCCCAAGCAAAATACTAAGCCGCATCATCCTGGAGAGAATCAAACATGCCCTGGATGAAAAACTTCGACAGCAACAGGCTGGATTCAGGAGAAACAAGTCATGTATTGATCACATCGCCACATTACGGATCATCATTGAACAAAGCTTGGAGTGGCAGTCACCTCTCTTTCTCAACGTCACCGACTTTGAAAAGGCCTTCGACAGCGTCGATCGAGAGGTGATTTGAAAACTACTTCGCTATTACGGGGTGCCACCGATAATTATACATCTCATCCAACAGCTGTACGACAATGCTGCATGCCAAGTAATCCACAATGGGAAACTTACGGAACCCTTCGAAGTGAGGACAGGAGTAAGACAAGGCTGTCTACTATCGCCAATGATTTTCCTGATTGCAGTAGACTGGATAATGCTACAAACAGTGGGCAATGAGGAAACAGGCATAAATTGGACACACACAAAAAACTTGGAGGATCTGAACTTCGCCGATGACATATGTCTGACTTCCCACAAACTGGAAGATATGCAAGCGAAAAGCAACAAGTTGGCAGAAGAAGCATCCAGAGAAGATAGGACTTCAGGTGAACATAGATAAAACAGAGGTGATGAAAATTCCTGGACAACACCACCAACAGCAACAACAACAACAGACAACGATCAGCATAAATGGAAGAAACCTGAAAGAAACAACCTCCTTCATCCACCTTCCTGGGAAGCATCGTTTCAACTACAGGCCGACGAAACTGACGAGGATATGAAATCAAGAATCGGAAAAGCAAGACAAGCTTTCACTACTCACGTCAAGTCTGTGTGGAGGTCAACAGCACTCAGCATCAAAAATAACATCCGGATTTTCAACTCTAGTGTGAAGTCAGTCAGTGCTACTATACGGATCAGAGACTTGCACTGCGCGTCATAAAGAGCATCTCAAACAAACTACAGACCTTCATTAACAGCTATCTTTGCTCAATACTACTCAAGATCAGATGGCTGGCCAGAAAAGATCAGCAACAGAGATCTCTGGCAATGAGCGAACCAACGCAGCAAAAACCGATTGTGAAACAAATCGGTAGGAAGAAATGGAGATGGATTGGCTGGCCATACTCTGAGGAAACCATCAAGTGACATAACTAGACAAGTCGTTGCTCCAGTGGAACCCGAAAGGGAAGCGGCGAGTTGGTCGTCAGTGCAAGTGTGGGGTGACTTGGAGGAGGTGATGTGAAGAGGAGATGAAGACGTGTGGGCAGACTTGGAGCCAGGTGAAAACTCTCGCAGAGAACCGAACGCAATGGAGACGTATGGCTGAAGACTTATGTTCCTCTAAGAATTAAAGGATACAATAATAATAATAAGATAAAAAATATTCAGCCAATAGAGAAGATGTGAAGCTTAGGTGGATGACTGGTAATTAGTAGTGTTGTCTGAGCTGGTCGGTTGGTTTGCGGAGCTATCGTCGTCCTTCTGCACAATTTCGCCCCCTTCAGCTCAAGTCTTAGCATAAACTGAACTGTTGTAAATTTTCCATGAGTGATAGAATTGCGTCTCCCGGTAACCATCTTTTCATATGTATTGATCAGGTTTTATTGACCTGGATTTTGAACTTTCTAGTCACCTGATTTATTTTTTATTAGTTGGTAGATTTGGTCTGTATTAACATATTTGTTAATCCCTGGCTGATTCACTTGAGTACCAGACTTCTAGGAATTCCCTGGCACTTTTGGTGTTTCTTCTGTCTAAAATTTCGACATTATCCTAATCAAATTAGTATCCATAATTATCTATATACATTGATATGAAACACAAACATATATCATGTCTTTTTACAGCTAATTTGTGTTCTTGGATTCTGATTCGAACAGGACGCCTACTTTGCCCGGAACACAAATCAGCTGTAAAAAGACATGATATATATTCTTTCATATCAATGCATATAGATAATTATGGACGTCAATTTGATGACTGGGATTATGTCGAAATTTTAAATAGAGGAAATACAGAAAGTGCCAGAAAATTCTCAGAAGCCTGGTACTTAAACGAATATGCAACTAAAACCATGTTAGAATAGACCAAATCTACCAACTAATAAAAAGTGAATCATGTGAATAGGAAGTTCAAAATCCAAGTCAATAAAATTGATCAATACATATGTAAAGATGGTTACCGGGAGACGCAATCCTATCACTCATGGAAAATTTACAACAGTTCAGTTTATGCTAAGACTTGAGCTGAAGGGGATGTTGTCCAGAAGGACGACGAAAGCTCCGAAAACAAACCAACCAACCAGCTCAGAGAACACTACTAATCGCAAAATATTCAGCTAATTAAGAAGCTTTACGTTATGTCTTCTGATGACAGATTCTTGACAATCAACTTGCATTAAATTCGTTGATAAGACCACGAAATCAATGTTCGCCAAGATATTTGACTACTCAAACTTGTGTAAAACTCACTCACTCAGTGAGAAAAATATTATCTGCTGCAGAGAAGCTTAGTCAATACTTTCGTCAGCTAGTTCATGTTGGTCATATGAACTTTGAGTATGCTATTCGGTAAATGTCTTTCAGCTGTTTGTTGGACCACAGCGTGTTTTTAGAAATTTTAAATATCGTAAATGTTCACGGTTGCAGTGGGTCAGAGACGAGTCAGTCTTTCTAGTGCAGATGATGGGCTATCTTGTGTTTACCTCACTGGGTTTATCCGCGTCTTGGTATCACACAGTTCAACAGACGAATCACAGAGAAAGCTAAGAGTTCATTATTGTCCATTTTTTAAGTTTCTGAACGAACTGCTAAGCAAGGTAACTTTCCTTGTAGGGGATCAACTGTCTCAAGCTGACATAACCATCTTCACAGCACTGCATCCATTGTCTACTCATGTTTATAATGAAAACCGTTGAAAGCCTCCCACTCATGTTGTACATTGGTATACCACTGTTGCTAACCAGCCGGAAGTGATGAAAGCGGTTGGAACGTCATCAATTTGTGTTAAGGCTGACAAGTTTGATGCCAAAAAGTATTCCGAGTTACATGGAGAGGGCACTGAGACCAAGCCACCCAAGGAAACAAAAGAAAAACCCAAGAAAGAAGCTCCTGCCAAAAAGGAAAAAGCTGCTGCCAATGATGATGAAGAAGAGGAACGCCCAAGGCTTAGCGAAAATGCTCTTGCGAATCCACCCCCTAGAAAGTTTGACATTGGTGCCTTTAAAAGAGTGTACAGTAACATGGGCATTTAGAAGGAAGCGATTCTTTACTTCTGGAGTAATTGTGACCCAAAAACGCACTCCATTTGGTATTGTGAATACAAGTACCCTGAGGAGTTATCACTCGTCTTCATAACATCTAATCTATCTAATGATCAAGTATGCGTTTTCTGGCATGTGTATCTTTGGAGAAAACAACAGTATTACCGTTGGTGGTCTTTGGATTTGGCCTGATACTGATCTTGCTTTTCAGCCAGATGAAGATCTGCAAGTCGACTGTGAGTCTTACAACTGGTGGAAGCTAGATCCTCAATCTGAAGAAACGAAGAGTCTTGTTCACGATTACTTCACACGCAAGTTTCAGGACAGACCATTTAACTAGGGAGAAATATTTTTTAAATGAAAATAAAGTGTTTTGTCTTGCTTTCTGTGTTAATTAATCTGCCTCTTTTCATAGTAAACACTTTTGAATTCTGGTCGATATATTGATTTTATTATTGTTATTAGTGAATAATTATTTTGCACAGTAGGAATTAAAAGGTGTCAAATTATACTAGAAAGTCACCGTCATCATTATGAACTTCATTAGCGTAAAGTTATTTCGTGTCACTTGGATACCGTTAGAAGAGTGAATATTACAGTTTCTATAGTTTTGTTTTAATCCTGTCTCCTAGATACAATTGAAGAACAGTTAGAGTTTTTCGAATATTACCACTAATTTATGAAAAGATCAATGATCCGTTCATACTAATCAGGGAAGAAGTTGAATGAAGTATAAAGTCATTAGATGACCTGGAGAATTAAATGGTGATTGGAAGCGTATTTCTAGCTGACCCATTCTGATTAATCATGCTGTGACGTTTGGTATTGTTTTGCTATAAGAAACTATAAAAGCTGATGAACAAGCCGTTTGGACAGCCTCCATGCCTGGATCACACTTAATCAGTTGGCGATCAGTGTCTATAAGTATGGTGTGTGCTTTGTGCTGTCTTTGTGCAAAGTAGTACTGTTACAAGATTGACAGGAGCCTGTACCTGCACTCACTCTTGATGAAGGTGAGACGCTTGAAGTTGTCGATAAGTTCATTTATCTGGGTAGTTAGTTGTGTGAGTGTTGGTGGATGAGATTTCAACCGTATCGTGTAAGATAGGGGGGCTTACGTCAACTTGAGCCACCTCTAGAGCCATCGTGACGTTAGCGTGACTATCAAAGATCGGGTTTACAATGCTTTGGTGTGTGTTATCTTGCTCTACGCCTGTGAAAGCTGGCTTCTCCAAGCGGATGTTGTACGGCGACTCTGCGTATTCAGCCATCGCTGTCTCCGTAGAATTGCTTGCTCTCGATGGTATCATCGTGTGAGTAATTCTGAGGTCCAATGGCGTGTGTCTGAACGCAGTGTTGATCACCATTCGTTGAGCGTTGTCATCTGGAAACACCGAATTCGACGGCTTGGACAGGTTTTACGAGTGTCATCTTACAGGCTTTCGTACAGTTCTGTGTTACCTAGCCCTGGGACAAGATAGAAAAAGTGGAGAGGTTATCAGCCCAGGACGTGGCGCCGTGGGGTGAAGCATATTTGTGTTAGGTTAGCATCAATTGGTGTGTCACAACTCCCTGGTTGCAGTCCGAGAGATAGCTCATGTACGTTGGTCGAAACGTTATCGGATATGGCCAAGAATCTTAGTCAATGGCGAAAGTGCTGCAATTTCCTTCTTTCTTCCCTTTCCTACAGTAACTGACGAATGTTGTTTGAAATTGTTAAGTACGACTATTTTCCTTCCAGATGAAGTAATTTATCCGTTCTCTAACTGTATTTTTCCATTAGGGTTCCACCCGACTGTCTGGATTGTGACATCGCTTAAGTCTCTCTTCAGGATATATCCTATCCACCCTCATTTTCTCCTTCATGTTTATTGGATGATAAGTTCGTGTTTGATTCATTTGTCGTACAGAGTTTTTTGTCGAAGTTCTTTCTAGCTGGCCATCTCATATTAGCATTGAGATAGAGGATGAAGATTTTGGTGAAAGTGCTCAGCACCATGTTGCAAGTGCTTTTGGTGACTCCCAAAGTCCCTAAACTGTGCTGAAGCACAGACCTGTCATTAATGTTGAGTAGAATTTGGATCTTGACCCCTGAGCTGAGTGCAGTAGATTTCTACCTGGTTTTCAGAATACTGATTGTTCGCCTTTCTTTCGCGATTCTGAATGCCACTGACACCCTCATTTATGTGACCTGTAATTGGAATGATACCGCATATGTCAGGTTAATTAATATTATTATTGTTTCCTTTAATTCCTAAAGGAAAATAGGGCTTCAGCCATACGTCTGCATTGCGTTCGGTTCTCTGCTAGAGTCTTCACTTGGCTCCAAGTCTGCCCACACGTTTTCATCTCCTCTTCACATGACCTCCTCCAAGTCACCCCACACTTGCACTGACGACCAACTCGCCGCTTCCCTTTCGGGTTCCACTCGAGCAATGACCTAGCGTGTGATGTCACTTGATGGTTTGTTTTCTCATAGTATGGCCGATCCACCAACTGCATTTCTTCCTGCCTATTTGTTTCACAATCGGTTCCTGCTGTGTTGGTTCGCTCATTGTCAGAGATCCCTGTTGCTGATCTTTTCTGGCTGGCCATCTGATCTTGAGTAGTATTGAGCAAAGATAGCTGTTAATGAAGGTCTGTAGTTTGTTTGAGATGCTCTTTATGACGCGCAGTGCAAGTCTCTGATCCGTATAGTAGCACTGACTGACTTCACACTAGAGTTGAAAATCCGGATGTTATTTTTGATGCTGAGTGCTGTTGACCTCCACACAGACTTGACGTGAGTAGTGAAAGCTTGTCTTGCTTTTCCGATTCTTGATTTCATATCCTCGTCAGTTTCGTCGGCCTGTAGTTGAAATGATGCTTCCAGGTTGGTAGGTAAAAGAGGTTGTTTCTTTCAGGTTCCTTCCATTTATGCTGGTTGTTGTTTGTTGTTGTTGCTGTTGGTGGTGTTGTCCAGGAATCTTCATCACCTCTGTTTCCTCTAGGTCAGGTTAATGATATGGGCGAAATGGTGCCCGTTATTGTTGTTGGTGACCTCAAATCTTCATCACATCTATTTTTCCTGTCTTCATTTGATGTTTTGTCTACACTTTCTGTCAACTTATTGCTTGCAGATCTTTGGGTATGTGTGACACTTTGGATATAAACCCTCCGCTAAACTCATATCTTCTAGAGTTTTCTTCTCAGTCCAGTATACGCCGGTCTTATTGCTGCATACAGTCTATTAAATTATGCCATCCACCACAAAGAAGAATGTCATCAGTGATAATAGACAGCCTTTCCTTTTCTGTTATCTTCACTTTGAAGACTAAATTAAGCTTTCCATCATGAATCACTTTATATGCTAGAAATAGATCCATTACACGGATTACGAAAATATGGGATCAGCCAACAACTAGTGAACCAGAAGACAACCAAGAAAAATTCAGTAATTCAGCGTAAAATCAATACCAAAGGTGAAATAGTCATGTGAAAGATAAAGATGGAAAGCGTCAACATACCAATTATATTCAGGATCAAAATATACTCATAATAAATTTATATTTCGAAACGAAAATCTCTACACTTACTGAAAACAAGACAATCAGAGGAAAAGGCTTAGCTAAGAACTTGTGAAACTGTCATGGATACCTCACTTTTTAACTGAGTGATTTCACTTGTTTCCCGAAAAGACAAGGATACGTTTGCAGTTGTGTACTATGCAACTAGGAGGACGCAACAACACTGAGTAGATCTTACTGGGCTACAAATCTACTCCATCATTCCAACTTATAAATGAAGTAAGTACTTAGAGTGTCAATATGACTGCTTGTTAAACGACCACAATCAAACATCAAAGGTGTCGGTACATCAGATTGATTATCAGTTTTTTCAGCTTTTTGCTGCATGGTACTGACAAGTTTGTAAGTAGTATACAGATGCAGATATAAATATGTTTATCATCTGCAAGAATAAGGAATAGCAGCGAGATAGATTTAATAAATAAGCGCAGAAATGAAAGATGCAAGTGAAACAAGATGGAAGGCACGAAAAGAAGACACCAAAGTGCAATACGGGGACAAAAGTAGAACAATATAGAAGATATGTGCAAATTGTGACTCCAATATATGATAGAAGAATTTTATCTATGTCCATCGATTACCAAATACTCGCGTTCTACTGTAACTGATATAACTTACCAGTTCATGGGAAAGTCCCATCCCTTGGGTTCCGAATGGAACATAGGGCTTCAACAACACATCTCTGTTTCTATTTGCTGCCGTCCTCTTCACCTGGCCTGGCCACCATTACTGTCCATAATCTACCATCTCCTCCGCTTCCTTCCCACCACACCATCTCTTACATGTCACCTTCACACTGACCAACCACTCGTCGCTCGCTTCCCATTCAACTTTTAATCGAGTGATGGTCAGCATCAAGTGCGATGTCATTTGACCGACGGCCTTCTCAATGACGTGTATGCCCAATCAATCCATCTCCATTTTCTCCTACATATTCACTGGTTGACCAATCGGCTCTTGCTTTGTTGGTTCGTTTGTTCATCGCCAGAGTTTCTTGTTGCTAATTCTTTCTGCCCGGCTGGCCGTTCATCCGTCCATTTGATCTTCAGTGTGGAGACAGCCAGTAAAGTGGGAAATTGTTGATAAAATTCTGTACAAGCCTGTCGGAAATCCTTTTCGTGACTCACAGGCAGTGCAAGTTTCTCACCCGTATAGATGAAGCGACTGACTCGCTGAATTCATGGACAAATGTGTTGAATAGAGTCTGAATCTTGTTCTACATGCTCACTGCCCATTTGACTGGTTGAATGACTGACTTAAGCAGAAGATTTGCAGACTGGTTTCAGGTTGATGACGGCGTTCTTGTCTTTCTGGTTCTGGCTGGCTGGCTTGATTTGATATCTTCATCCGTGCTAGCTTCCTGGCCAGGTAAATGGAGCCAAGAAGTAAACTCTGTGAAATCTCTCCTTGCCGTTGGTAGTGACT